CCTTAGATCAAGGTTTTCCAGTAAGATCCAAACAGAAATGTTTTTGAATTGGCATAAAAGGTGTTGAGCCCCCCAAAAAATATTGATAAAAATTGCCCAATGGGTAGAGAAATTATGATTTCTTTGATGAGTTTCCGATTTCACCATGCTGATATATAGATATAAATTATACATATATACATACATATATGATTGTAATGTATATAATATAATCCGTAAATTTTGAGTCCCCGAACACGTTTCCACGAGAATGTGAAAAGTTCTGGACTTTTTCCCTAGCCAGTCGACCACTGTAAAATTCATCAAGCAGGTCCATCTCCTTTATTCATACTATATATATATGGGAATCATTGTCTATACATCTACTATGTAATTCTCTCTCAAGGCTTGTGAGAAAGAGATGGTTGTTGTTCACTTCTACACTTGTGACCAGGTTGCTTTTACATTAGCTGTTTATGTATTTTACTCATTGCATGCATGTTTAGGGAAAGTGATAATTTCACGTTTTTTTAAATAACATTATAATTATAATAGATATTAATTTTAAAAATGACAACAAGAATGAAATTTATTTTTTTCTTTGAAATGTTAACCTTACTTTACTTTGCTTTTACATTTCTGATCCAGCAGCCATCTGAGTTCAAGCCCTTTGGCCTGTCGATATGGCAAAGAATTTATGGGTCCTTATCAGCTATGTTTTCCCGATGTTCGTGACCTCTAGGTTAACCTCTTGTTTTTTAGTTTTAGTAGATGTTTTACGGCGCTCGGAACTGTATAAAGTCATATGAGCGCCAAGGGATGGATGTCAACAGAGAAGTCCTTACAGGGAATCAGACTTACTCTGCTCACCTCGCTAGCTTCAACAACACAAAGTCTACTTCGACTATCAAGGAACCCTGGAAATAGCGGGTCACAAGAGTATGACAAACATACAGAAGAAGTAGAGGAAAAATGATGATAATATTGATTAAGAAAGAAAAAGCAGCAGTTCCCTGTTGCAGTTCAGGCACAGTTATGAGCATGACACATTGATGAATCAGCCCATTTACAATTACAATTTTACTATGCATAAGAACTCCAGATGTTAATGGCAATGGCCTAAAGACACTTCAGTCAGTAGCACCGACCCGGGAGGGGGGGGGGGGTAAAGGTTGACCTCTCAAACTTGCATCTATAAGTGACCTGAAATGGAAACAAAGAGTGTACCGAGTAACAGATCTGGAGAAAGTTGACAGCGGAGTGGTTGATATGATTTATGGCACAATTCAGTTATCACTTGCTATCTAGGATATGCAACTGTTAATTCTTGTATTTCAATTTATATCTGATTAGGTTAGATGTATCAGCTGAATATTATTCCCAAATGCATGGGTAGGAGGACACAGTAGAAACTTCTGTTGTCTTTTGTTGTGTTAAGAAAAAAAATCTAGATAAGCCAAGGAAAAGTACTGTGACATACAGTTCTTTTCAACTTGCATCCAAATTTACCCCTCCTCTCTCCCGAAGGAGTGTTTATCTACAATATTCACGGATATTGTATTATGATGAGTTGGACACTAAAACACAATGAGTTCGGTTTTGTTTCAGAGTTTACTGCACTTGCAACACAAATAGGTCACATAAGTGCTAAAGATTAGAGTTGTTACTTGAGAGTAACATAGACAAATGAAGGAACAGAGATAAGGATGATTGATGGATGTTAGATAGGAAAGAAGAGGCAAACCACACCAGTGCATCCACCAATAACCCACAAGCACAATACGTATGAACGTAAAGAAATAGTTATGTGTTGATGTTCTACAGAATAAAGAAGTAACTAAAGTCGCAAAAATGTGAGAGGAATAAAAAATACATTTTATTCAATGACAAAGCAATAATTTAAGTATGTTTCATGAAAGGTATTTTCCTGCTCACCTGGCAAATACATGATAATCAAATCAGTACAGTGCAGCCTCTCTATAATGACCTTCGATATAACGACATCCTCTGCTTAGCGACATGGTGCCCAGGTCCCGATTTTTTTCCCTTATATATCATTAGTAATTTTTGGCTACTTCTGTATAACGACAACTATCTAGATCGACTTTTTTGTCCTGGCCCCGGCAATGTCGTAACAGAGAGGCTGCACTATATCTTATTTAAACTATTCTGTAGATTGACATCGCCCCTGACCGTTTGACTCTCTCTCTCTCTCTCTCTCTCTCTCTCTCTCTCTCTTTTTTTTTTTCTCTCTCTCTCTCTCTCTCTTTCTTTCTCTCTCTTTCTCTCTCTCTCTCTCTCCTCTCTCTCTCTCTCTCCCTCTCTCTCCCTCTCTCTCTCTCTCTCTCTCTCTCTGAAGTCCTATCAGTTCCAAGTTATTACCTCATTCCAGCGTGGACTGAATAAAAGAAAACTGACATTACACTTAGGATATTTAACAAGCAGGTTATGTTATACATTGGAATTTGCTTTAAGGTGTAATTATGTCTCAGGGACTTGCAAATATGTCAGATTGGCCTTCAAAATTGAGATCATACTTTAAGTTATCATCCTCTTTTCTAGAATGAGCACAGGATGCAGAAAGTTCAGATGTGAGAAAATAATTTCAACAGAGTTCTTTTTATGCCAAGTCCTCTTGTTGGTAAATCGGAGATTATAAAATTATAGAGCATTTTATAGAAAATCCATTGGCATCTGACATTTCATTCCAAATTCAAGGCAAGCGAAGAAGTCAAATATCGCCAGCGTTATTCCACAAATGACTTACCGTTGTTGTTTTTTTTTCTTTTTGAAGTTTTGAGATAATTAAAGTAAAGGAGAATGCCCAAAGCAGAGCCTTCACCTATAATAGGCTCTTGGTGTTTTATAATTTATAAACTAAAAAGGAAATAACTACACAAAGTGAAACCACGATGTTAGATAACCTTAGATGTCTTTATTCAAATTATAATATGTCTTCATCTGGAAACCCCCAGAAATTGATTTGGGCGATTGATTGATCATTGTGGCACGATGCTGCAGATTGAAAACCTGACTTGAAAGTGCAAAGATTTTAATTCTAGTAGGATCTTTCCCAAGCATTTTAGCAGAGGCGTTGATGAAAAAAAAAATTGAATGAAAGACGTGCAGAAAAAGATTTTTTAAAAAGTTTTCAGAGTGTATAACAGTCTGCAAGTAAGGATTTCTAGGAAGAGAATAAGAGAAACTGAACAAGTAGTTATGTTCATTTTCAAGTTTGTCTCAAACAAAATGAACAAAAGAAAACAAAAGAAAACAAAAGAGAGAGAGAGAGAGAGAGAGAGAGAGAGAGAGAGAGAGAGAGAGAGAGAGAGAGAGAGAGAGAGAGAGAGAATTTTATGACAGGATAACTGGAAGGGAAAAGAAGGGCGGCAATTGTTCCTTTCTGACTTGGATTTTTTCTCTCTCGGTTTTTCCCCCTAGTACGTAGCGCAACAGGCATTTTCCATCAGCTGTGTCATACTGGCTGAAACTCTTTATCTTTCTTTGCATAGGAAGCATCATCATCATCAGAAGAAGAAATAGATAATAGATAATGCTGATGATGATAAAAATAATAACAATATTACTAATGATGATGATGATGATGATAATAATAATAATAATAATAATGATAATAATAACAATAGTCCATCCGTCAGTGTATGATGATGACCAGTGTAACTGCTGAGAATAATTCGGTAAGAGAAAAGAAGAAGAAAGTATTAAGATGATTTGTGGCTTCTGTTATTACCAATGAGACCAATAATAATAATATAATTGTGGCAGAGAAGCGTTTGCCACGTTTTGAGCATTTTGAAAAGCTTCCTTTCCACTTGTAGATGGGCACAGCTTGTGGGCTTTTCTTTTGGTTTCATTTTGGCGAAGCATCAATTCCTGTTTTGCTTATTACCATAACGCTATTGATTACTGGGTTTGTGTTGTTTAGCTGCCTGAATGCTCCAAGATGTTGGCTAAACAAAGGTACCCCCCTCCCCCCAAAAAAAATCCCAACAAGAAAAAAACAACCAACAACAAGAAACAAACAATAACAACAACAAAAATCCAAACAAAACAAACAAACAAACAAAACAAAAAAACCCTACAAAAACAAAAACTACACAAACCCTTTTACTTCTTACTTAACAGCTGTGAGGTTTTACTCCCTCATGGACACTGTTCAGATAATTAAGGAGGTGGCTGCTTGTCAGATCCTACCCAGGCTGAAAGGGATACAGCAGGAAGACGCGATACTTTAATCCTATCCGTACATCGTGTTTTACTATCGTATCCATATGACGTGGGGACCTCTGTGCCAACATTTTCCAAATAGGAAATTTACTTATTAATCCGATCCCCACGCTTTGCATAGCAGTCTGTCAAAATGATTTTTTTGAGAAATACTGAAGGTTTCAAAAAGATCTTCGAAGAAGAAGTGTTCTAAAATGTGAAGAATACAACCCCGGGGGTACAAAATGACCCCAAGGCGTACGGATAAGGTTAAATTTGCTCCCTACAGGAATCAAACCCACGTCTCCTGCGCGCAACTAAGCCCATAACTGCTTCGCTAGACGCCAGTATGGCTTCATAGTACACATTTATGGTATGTCAAAGATACTGACCACAAAAAAATAAATAAAACGTGCAAAATTCCAGTTATCATTCTTCAAATCAGTTATTTGATTTCTAAATGGGGACCGAGGTGGAAGAAGAAAATAATTGGAATCTGTAATAATATTGATGCTTGTGATGCTGATAATTTCAGAATGATTTTGGACTTTTATGCTGGGTCCGACAATGCACATTGTAAACGTACAACAGTGACCATAATGTTCTTCGCAGCTCTGCCAAAAGCATAAAACCCTTTCCGTACTTTGTAAGCAAGTCCCACCAATAAAAAACCCAACAAACGAAATACAACAACGTGTTAACAACAAAACCACAAAAAACAACAACCTTAAAACTAATAAAAGACAAAAGAACAAAACAAAAAACACAAAACAAAATAAAAAACAAAAGCAAAATCCAATGGAGTTACACATCAGAAAATATCTCTTTTGCTTTTTCTCCCTGTCCGGCTGAAATCTTTCTACCATTTCTACTCGTCATTTTAATCTTTTTTGAACATTTGCTTCTCAAACTGACTCTGAGATTCTCATACTTCTGAGACGTCTGTCTCAGGCTGTGTCAGATCTTCAAGTTCTCTCTGTATTCGTATCAAGTCGTCCTGTAGTTTTTTAATCCTTTTCTTTTTTTCACTCTCAGCGTTACTTTTGTTCGTTTTTGAAGGCTTGCCGTAATGTGCGTTACTGATAGTTGAAGTTCCTTTCAAAATTGTGATAGCCCCTGAAGGTAAAGATGGACTCGCCCCTTCTTCCTCAACGAATAGAGAATCGAGCGAGCCTACTTTTGTTGAAGGTGGCATCATGTAAGACAGAGGCAGAGAGGACACCGTGCCCTCAGAAGGATGGACTTGCCTCATTTTTGTGGCGTTCTCTCGTGACTGAAAGTAACTGAGCTTGGATGATGACGTTGACGATAATGATGATGACGGCGAAGACGGTTGTGGCAAAAGTTTCTTTTGTGGAGATGATGGGGGTGAGCAGCAAAGAGGCGGCGATGATGATGATGAAGGAGGGGAGGATTGTAGCAAGCTGGCAAGCAGACCGTGCCTGTATGAAGTTCTCTCTGGAGGAGAGATGGGTGGGGCAGCTTGTGATGGAATTGCTCGCGAGGAGCTGGAGCGACACGTGACTGGCTTGTCTAAAGTGGAAGAAAATTGTGAGCGATGTGTTGACGGTAGTAGAGGAGATGTAGCTGAGGGGAGAGAGTCGTTGTCTTCTCGGGGATCGTCATGCAAGAACACACTGTCCGAAGAAGCGCTCGTTCTGGGGTCGTAGTGGACGAAAAAGGGATTGAGGCACGTGGAGTGAGGAGGGGCGGGGTTTAGCTGTTCGGGGGAGGAGTCACCAGAGCGGTGTCCTGGCTCAATCCAATCACCGCATAGGTGAAGGGCGGAGTTATCTCCTACTGTGTTGTTGAAGGCGGGTCGTTCAGAGGTGCTGATGCTGCGGAGGCGGGGCTGGAAATGTTGAGGAACAATGTCTCGGTGATGATGGTGATGATGATGTGAAGCTGAGTCCGCCGATTCTTCAGTAGCAAGAAGAGGAGTGTGTACATCAGCGTCATGATGGGGGAGCACTAAAGACCGTTTGTGATGATGATGAAAGAACGGAGGTGGAACTTCGTTGAGTAGCTCTGAGTCGCTTGAAGGCCTCTCAAATACTGACATCCGCTCGAATGCGGGAACAAAATGCGCACACACATTGCCATCTCCGTTCGGCACATTTTCTTTTCTCACCGTATCGTTTGATTTCCCCCCTGAGGGGACTTGGGGTCGGTGAGGACAGTTGAGAGACTTCTCAAACGGACACAACAAGTCCCCCTCTGAATCCTTCCCGTTCAGAGTGTTGTCGCTACTGCTGCTGTTTCGCAATAAACAGGATGCTTCTGTGTTCATTGTTTCACTGTTATGAACATTTTCGTCATCGTCGTCATTTTCATTATTGCTCGCACTGCTGTCGTCATCGACTGTGATGACTTGTAAGCGATGCACAGCAAAGAGTCTGCCGACTTTAGAGTTGAAGCCTGTGGGACTTTTTGCCTGAGACGTCTCGCTACCGTCATTAGCGTTGTATAAATCCGCCACAGTGTTATCCCCGCTGCTCTTTCGAGTCTCCACTACGCCCCTGTTATTCACAAAGCTGTGCTCTTTGGACACACCCTTTTCATTCGCCACGCCAATTTTACCGTATCCACCCCCATACTCCGCAACGTCTACTGTATTGAGCGTTTTATTTTCAGTATGGCCTTTTTCTGCACACGAGTCTCCACGAGAATTACTCTGACTATTAAAAGAAAACGTATCCCCATCCATGTTTCTGAGACTATTCATTTCACCCCTCCTGTTTCCTTTCTCACCGGCAGTTATGGATTGCGCAGAGTGGCAATGCGTAGTTTTACGAACTCTTTCAAGACCATTTTGGGCGAGTTTCTCTGGCCCTGACTCTCCACTGGTCTGAGTGATCTTGTCCAACATAGGAATGGATGCCGTATTCCCCCGATTTGTTGCCGACATTGGAAAATTAAAAACCGTTTCCTTTTGCAAGTAAGTCAAATCATCGGAATACCTTTTATTTGGTCTCTGGTGATTATCTGAACTCCCACACTCGTTCTTAAGGCCACCATCCTGTTTCTCCTTTCGGTCACTTGTCCTCTTCCTCCTTGTCCCCCAAACGTCACCACCGGAAGTCCTGTATCCGTCCATCTCGAATTCACATATCATTCGATGATTGGTCAACCAGTTCGAGTCAGAAACAGACGACGGAAGTTTGGACGCGCCGCTGCAGACGTCACGCCCTTTCTTCTTGTTCCAACTTCCGCTAGCGCCTCCTATACTGAAACTCCGTGTGAGCTTCTGGAAGGTTCGTACCGCCGGTCTAGAATTCTCTACTGAGTGACGTTTGCTGATCGAGTTGGACGGCCTGAGCAACCCGCCGGAGGTGAACGCCATGTCCATCAAGATGTCCTCGTTCTCGGACACGTCAAAGGTCACGCCCTCACCGCCGTCTGATATAGAGTTGCACCTGAGGAGCGAGGGGGAAAATATTATGTTTATTATAGATATTATGTTTAACACCCACATCGATACCATATTTTAGATCACTTTGTAGGTGGGCTTCGTGCTTATCTGTTTGGGATAACCTGGGCTGAAATGGATACAACCTCCTAGCAAAAAGACCGAGATACTCGATAAAATGTCTCCCCACTCGGGAATCGAACTCCGGTCTCTTGCTTTCGATGACATATTTTCTAACAAAGATCGTACATAACAAGATAGTTCCCTAAGCCAAACAAGTGTCCGTGGAAGTCCGTACATTGGTTCAGATGGCACTGCAGTCTCTGTTTTAAAGCTCTCTTTCGTTTCTCCAGAAGAAAAGGAATGGCACAGCAGTTTGTTAGTTTCACTTTTATTTTATTTCACACAAATAGGGTTACTCTGATCGCAAAGTCCGCACTTTTTCAAAGAGGGCGCCATCAAAATTTTGAGCACACTTTTTTAAATAAGCTCAAAGAGAGGAGTGAACTATCTTGTTATGTACAATCTTTGTTCCTAATCCATACACCACACGCGCCGATTTTGAGGAACGGATTAGGCGCATTTATTTTAGGAGTTTGTTTTGGGGCCTTGCAGCGGAAAATCCTCATATTTATTTATTTGTTCAAAGGGGTTCGTTCCTCTTGGACAATACCAACAAAAATATTTATTTGGAAGCCACCGACATGCATTCTTCCGCCTTTGATTTCCAACCGAGAATAATGCCTTTTGAGGATAAGCCATTTATTCCGGCTCCGAAATAACACCCAGAGAGTCTTTGCAACTTGATGTTTTTCGTCTATATTATATTATTTGCACGTTACAGACTTTGCTTGATTAAAAGAACAAATCACATCTATTTTCTGGCATAACGAAATGGAATGGTTAACTCAATGGTATTGTGTAATCATCATGAGGGAGAAGGAGGCTCTCTCATCGCATTTCCTTTTAGACATTTAGGGTATACGATTTTATTTTCTTCTTTCTTTTATTAAACAAAGACAGATACATCTGCACGATGACGGCCATTCAGTGCAGGGGAAAAAGAGACAAACAAAACAACACAACAGAGAGAAGGAAAGAAAAAAAGAATCTGAAAGAGGGGCTCACCGCAACAAAACGAAATGAACTATAATGCACACAATAATAATAATAGTGCTTTCGTCAATGTCTTACCATGACCAATGCATCCGCAGAGGAGAATTTCTCTAGCGAAAAAGAAGAATTAAGATTAAGATGACGTGTGGATTCTGCTATTGCCAATGAGACCAATTCTGTCAGAGATATGTTTGCCACATTTTGAACATCTCCACTAGTTGATGTGTGTAGCTTGTGGGTACCTGTCTTATTGTTTCCAGCATTTTCTAATAGTGACTTGCTGCCCGCTGTGACTGCTGCTCCCCAACTGGGTCTGTCATGCTACAGATTCTCGCATGACGTTCATCTATATTTCGCTAGTTTCTGTTACAAGTTTACGGTGCTTACAACCTTGATACGTATTCTTTTTATAAGTGCCTAAGATTAGAAGAGTTACTAAAGAGTAGCATACAGACAAAAAAGAAGGAGGAGAAATAAGGACCACATAAGTTTGATTGGAAAGAAGGAGCAAACCAAACCGTATCAATCACCAACCACCCTCTCACAGGTATGGAAGGCCGAGCCCCCAGCACTTGAGAAGCACTAAAGATTTAGTATTGAATCCCCTGGTGGCGGATAGGGGACAGGCCTCCAGATATGGAGGTTAGCTGCTATGCAATTGCGAACCGAATGGGAGATGGTTGCGGAGAGTAGAAGGGAACCTTGGTGGAACAGGTGCTTCAATTAATACTTTTATATAATGAATGTCTCATATGCAGTGAGTGTGTGATTGGCATGTGCTCTGGTGGGGTTTGCTCTTTCTCTCCTATATCAAAGATCCATCATCCTTATCTCTCCTGCTTCTTTTTTGTTCTTGTGACTTCCTTGTAACACCTCTAATCTTCAGCACTTTTAAAACCTAATTGTTTTGCAACTGCCGTAAAGCGCCTACTGAAACAAACCTACAGTGAGAGAGAGGGGGGTAGAGGGAGAAAGAGAGGGAGAAAGAAAGAAAGAGAGAGAGAGAGAGAGAGAGAGAGAGAGAGAGAGAGAGAGAGAGGGAGAGAGAGA